GAGAAGGACATTTTCAAACGATATTTTGAACGATCATATAATACGTTTGCTGCGACATTACAACAGATAGCTATGAGCGAGATTGTGTCTGTGTTATTATGATTCAGACTTCCGGCGTCAGGACTAGATGATTTTATTGTGTTCGATCAAATAATAATAATAATCAAATTCAATTTTTCAAATTATCTGCCATTGAACTGGGTAGAAGATGAAGGTCTAATGTTGTATAACAGCTTTTGAACTCTAAGCCAGCCATTACAAACAATGAAAGCATCTAAACATTGTCAAAGTCAATAACAAGCCTAACTTTTTTCACTTTGGATTTTGAAAATCCTTAACCGAATAGAATATGTTTTTAGAAGACATTGGCAGAGACTCTTTTTTAAATGTAAGATATGGTTGTTTTGCAGTAACGGTTCCTTTGAAACCGCATCCTCCTAGGCATAATGTCAATAATAATTTTGTTCGGGTGTCTTTTCATTCTATTAAGTTCGTTATTGCACACTCAAATTTCCGTATAAGCATAACGGTTGTAGGCTAGCTTAGGACGTTTGATCTTTGTGGTGCTGAAACATTGAGGAGCTTACCATATAGGAAAGTTATTAATGCAACTATTAGCATGACAAAGGTTCATACAATACAAGCGCATGAACCTTTGCCTTGCCAGTACTATGCTACGGCAGTGCTAAATTAGGAGCAATCGCTCAATCGCTACATTTTTTTTTAATTATATTAACGCGAAGAATAATAAGGTCAACTTTGATCAGCAATATTGCGAAATCATCATCGGATCAGGGATCAGTATCGCAGACTGCTGGCATTGGGGTCCGTAGTCCGCTACATTTGGAACAACAGCTAAGCGTGGGTCACACACATCGAATAGTCGTTGCAAATGTATCAGTTGGGAATAATAATGGCAAAGACAATTCGCTGTCTACCTGTCACAAACAGCGAGTTCTAGACGGCAATTTCTACAGTCTATCGGTGCCAAAATACAAATACGTCGTCTAGTCGTTATGCGGCGCGCTTAGCGGAAACGCTACTCGCAGCGAGTAACCTGTCAGACACAGCGAGTTCTCGCGGCGAATGCTCATCACAGCGTGTAAAATTTAATACGCTCAATTCGCAGCGAATAGCGTATAACACACGGCGAGCGCTCGCTTAAAGTGCCTAATCGCAGCTAGTATTCGCTGTGTGTGACCGAGGCTTTAATCACGCGGTCAATCCGCTGTTGCATGTGCACAAACACATACGTAAATGCGCGCTCGGCTTTCTGATTGAATAGTGAAAGCATTGAAACCCATTAGCTTTGATTAAATAAACCTATATATTCTTAGACCGTTAATGTAGCAAGGCTTTAGACGCAGGAAAATGCGTGTACTTGCATACCACCGCCGTCATACACATATTTATAGCTACGAATAAATAAAGACGTACGTCGTCATTGCAGTGAATTCGTACAAAAGCTGTTTACAAAAAAGAAAAGGAAAGTACTTTGATATCACTTGTACAAATAAAATAAATATAGTTTAATAAAGTTTGAAGTGATTGTAGAAATGAATAGGAGCTGTGCATACTAAGGCAAAACAATTTCTGTACGCACACAAGAACTCAAAACAGTACCATAAAATTGACATCTCTTATGAGTCGACACGGCATCTAGACGTATACGTAATTAATCTAAGCCCTTTAGAACGTTAGATTCAGAGATGCGGACGTTTATACGCCCACATAGTGCCTGTTTGTATAGCTACCCTAAACACAAAAGTGACACCAACAACAACCAGTTAATTAAAGAGGCGTAATACAACAAAATGCAATACATTTAATAGAAAACTGGCTATACGGAGATGGACACTGCACTGAACTGGAAGTATTTTTTCTTTTAATTGGCTTTTAAAGTAGAAAGTTTTTTGACGCAGCTTTTCAATTCCAAGCTTTTTTTTAAATCCCGGTCAGTGACAAAGGGTCGACGGTAAAAGTGCCGTAGGGTTATAAAACTGAAAAATAAGCCGTCACGTATGGAACAGGACTAAAAGACCGATTCAACAAGAACTCTTTAATCAAAATAATGTACTGATGAATAGCTTTTGCCACACAACGCCGGAACGAGATTAACATGTGAAATAGAATAATACCACATACCTTACCGTTTACTTACTCTATTTGTCATCCTACGGCAAACAGATCCATTAACTTAAATTAATGAATATTTGGTAGTACAAATTTATATATTTGTATATTTGTGTTATATTTAAATAAATGTGCGCACGAATAATATGCAATGATGTATCTTGTATTAACTGATGTTTTGCTTTCAGTCCCGAGACTATTAAAGCTTCATCCGACGCAGAACCGGTGGGCTACCCAGAGCCCACGGGTGTGGGTCCTCCGCTGTGGGTAGGGCCGCGCATGTGCCCATGCGTACGTTTAACTACGGCATGTGATAGCATCGAGGTTGCGGTACGGACCGAGACCCTGATGGCTGTCGACTGTGTTTTTAGGTAATCGGTGGTTGGGGGCGGTGAGAACCGCCCTGGAACGCGGGTGTACCTTGTGTTGGTTGACCGGGTGTGTTGGTCTCGCCGGAGGCGAGGGCGAACTAATGTGTTTCTTGTTACAATAACTGAGTGTGTAGTGTTATCCGGCGGGACCTCCGACGGTGAGTCCGATGTACCTAATTCCCCTTCCTCGACGGGGTCGATGAGGACGTTACGCGGGCGATGCTTGTTGACGCTCGAGTTTGGATCGGGTTGGTAATTTGCTGCGCTTACCACCAGAGCGTTGGAATGTAATGGTGAAAATATTAAATCAGTTGAAAATATTAAATGAACATAATCATTATTAAATGTAGTTTCTCGTGAGCAATCGGTATCAGTTATGAACTTACTGGGTTGTTAGAATGCCTTAGCTAACATTATTATTCATATCTTTACAAATTGTAAAACAGAGACGCTCCCGCTGTTTGTACGCTTAGATATTTTAAACTACGCAACGGATTTTAATGCAGTTTTCAATAACAGATAGAATCATTCAAGAGGAAGGTTTATAATTATGTAGAATAAATGCATATTTTAGTGGATAAAAAGCCGGGAAATTCAAAGAATTGTAATGTTATGTACTAAAAAACTATATTTTTATGCGTTTACATTACAAACAAACGCTGGCTAAACCTTACGAGATATATCAAATGAATTTACTACGGAATTTTGTATGTTATAAAGATGTTTAAACTGTCTCATGAAAAACAAAAACAGCTCTAAAATTGTGTATAAGGATATCTTGTAGTATAGACAAGTCATAAAATTGTTAATCACTTCACACTGCCTCAGGTTAGTTTCTACATTTCAAAAGTGTGAAGCCGCTAGTAGGTAGGATCGCTAGTTTTATATTAATTGGCAAACTGAAATTGAGACGTGGGACGGTCCAGTAGTACTACACCATTAGGGTTGCCAGTTATTCAATTTTATACTTAGAACTATATATGAAAGCTACAGTAAAATATAATTTTTATTAGACACATATCTACCTACTGTTGGATATAATTTTTGCCATAGAGAAAACTGACTGACCGATCGTGAGTGTGAAGTAAACCAGATGATTCGTCTATGAAACTCTGTTACGATGAAATTACATCGAAATAAAACACGATAAAATCCGTAAAATTTTACTTATACTTATATATAATTTTACTTATGGTTAAGTTACGAAATTATCATGATCACTGGCATGATGCATTTCTTACGTCATCGGACAAGAAGTTTCAAAGATACACATCTTAAATAGTAAAAGAGTTCTCACTTTTTTATTTTATTTATAGGCACAGGCATTTATATTTTTAGGTCCGTACCCAAAGGCCGAAACGGGACCCTATTACGAAGACTCCACTGTCTGTCTGTCTGTGAGTCTGACGGTCTGTCACCAGGCTGATGTATCACGGGTGATGTATTTCTATTATTACTGTTATAGAACAACAAATACTAAAAAACATAAAGAATTAATAAAATATTTAAGTGGAGCTCCCAAAGAGAAGATTTAATGTTTTTGCCGTTTTTATAGTTAACCCTTGTACGGAACCCTTGGTGCGCGATATGGGCTGTCAATTGTTTTTTTTTTATTCTATAGAGGGTTTTAGACCGTTCGTACGGTGTGCTGCGATAGACTGCATAGGAAGAACGGTAAGTCCAAGATGCTCAATAACGAATTTACTAGTTAGTCGCCATGTAACTTCTTAAGCGTATTTTCAAAATTTTCTTTTCTTAAGTCTTTAATTCAATATTGACTTATACATCCCTATATAATATTATAAATGTTATAAACGCTTTAATGCCAAAACTACTCATGCAACTATCATTAAACATTTGTACACATATTCTTAAATACATATATTCTTAAAGGAATTAAAAGGGCATAGGATTCTTTTAATAAAAAAAAGATATGTCTTTAAGGGCTTCAATGCAGGTGAAGCCGCGGGCAAAAACCTAGTATATGATAAAGATATTTTAATTTAGTTTAATAAAATCATTCTTGATTATGAACTCTTAATATTTAAGATTCTATTTTAAATATTAACACTAATTAATATGTAATTCTGCGCAAATAATTTATTTTTAATGAGTTGACTTGAATTTTGAAGATAAATAATTGCAAAACTAAGTCTTTGAACGAAACGTAAGTAAGGTTTATGAACGTTGCAATTGTTATTGAAAAGATGATATAGACAAACCAACGTAACTTATACCTGCTAAAAACGCATCACAAACTGTTGAAATTACAAGCCTTATGTTATTTTCCTGGTATTGCAGTACCCAATGGCTTTTTAGGTGATAAATAGAATCATCTGTCAGGCATCAGCCTAATGCACGGGGTCAACGAATAAAATCTTTTTTTGTTTATATAGAAATTTCACCATAGCGTTGGCGTAGTGCCAAGTAACGTAAACAATTGGCCTTTTTACGTGTACGACAATAAAAATCAATTGGCACGCACTAGAGATTTCACCGAAGCGTCGACGTAGCCACGCGGCGTAAATGCGCGCTCGCCACAAAAGCGAAGTAGCTCACCCGATATCGGGGGAAGTTTTCCGATCGTGTTGTTCGGACAGTGGCGTGCCACCGGAACGCGATTGCTCCCGGTCCGGCTAAGTCTCCGGCGAAAGAATAATAAGAGAGCGTTGATGCGAACACCGCACGGCTGGGCGTGGCGTCGGGTAAGGCGTGGCCGAGCCCCTCCGCCCACGCGGCGGCTTGAAAAACGAATCGGGCAGCACTTGCTGCTCGGCTGTCTTTTATCGCGAGAAGTTCCCGCGTCGGAGCGGATAAACGACCTTCGCAACGGCCCTTTGGGATAATTAGCATGAAGTCACCCGGTACGCCGTTGAACTGGCTGCGGTTTGGAGAACGCACGATTCTGCCCTGTACACGGGGTGTGTGTAATGGGGCCCGTGTGTAGATCGAAATCAAGCGAGCCTGTTCACGTTCAGCTAGCTGGCGGCCGTTTCCACCTGTTCATGTCCGTGTTACGTAGCGTATATTACGGTATCGTATATTGGTAGCGTATATTGGTTACAAGTCATTTTAAGAATATTCGTTCTAGAACGCTGGTTTTTTTATTCGCTTCATAAAGCTTCTATTTACGTAAACGATAAAAAAAACTGGTACTTATTTTTGTAGACAAATAGTCGAGAATTTTTCCGACGCGTCCGTCAAATATTCATTGCAAAATAATGTTGCAAAGGCATACCGTTATAGTAGGTAATTGGTGGTAAAAAAAAAGTATGTTTGTACTTATGGACGCACGTAAGAAGTTATACTTCTTTAGAGTAACAAAGAAAAATTACAGATAAAGTAAAGTAAAGTAACAGCCTATACATGTCCCACTGCTGGGCAAAGGCCTCCTCTATACAAAGGGTATCAGGGCATAGTCCACCACGCAGCCCCACTGCGGATTGGCGGACTTCACATATTTTCAATATATATATTTTTTTTTTGGTATTATTTCGAAAATATGCAGGTTTCCTCACGATGTTTTCCTTCACCGCGCAGCACGTGATATGTCAGCACTTAAAGTTAAAAACTTCATTGGTGCCGGTACCGGGGATCGAACTCAGGTTGCTCGAGTATATTGAATTAAAGGCGAGCGCCCGGACACTGAGCTATCACGGCTCATAACGATCGATCTCTTATCGATAACGGTTTAATAATAAAATTTGTAATTTTAGCTAAATGTTACAACTTACTGTAAATTGTTATTGGTTGCCATGGCAATACCGCGAAGTTGGTCGAAGGTCGCTTTGCAACCACCTTCATTATGTCGGTGTCGGTTTGCGCGCGCATCGTAAAAATTTTATTCTTATATTTTTTTCCAAACCAATTTTATTTTTATATTTGTCATTAATGTCAAGTCTAAATTAAGCCGAATACTGTTAAAAACCGACACGTGTAGGATAATTTTTCCCAAGTCTTGAATGCGATTTATCAAATTGTCTCAACGAAAGCCGATAAAGATAAATTTCCGAGAGCTAGTCTTTGGTTCAGTAACCTGTGTAATAACGCCGGTCCTGAAACTAATGAAATTGTCAATTGCGATTCGTAGTATTTCACGGCTCATCGGCGGTCCAAGTCTGGAAGAAACTTGAAAAATATTAAAAAAGGGGTGCGTTTACTTTCATGTACGCGCAGAAGTATATACTTCTTTGGCATCATTAAAAATAGTAATTGCATGCAAATAATTAATTACAATAAAATAATAAAAAGACTGGAAAAGGATATATACAATAAAATTATGAAAGCGCCATCTACATTCATTATTGAGAGCTGTAACGGGCGAATGTGATTGAGAATATGCTGCCATCTAAAAAAAAATAAGCGTTTTAGTGGGCAGCTTCAAAGGTGTGACTTTTGTGTTATGTGATGCGCGCGCATCTTAATTTCACTCTAATCATTTTTTCATAAAACGCCTAAAGACGTATAACTTCAAAAACATTTCGAGGAAGTAACAAGCCATGCATGGTAACCACACTGGAACCCCACACCCTGTGGAGGTCTCGCAGTATGACATGCTGTTGTTACTTTACCCAAAACACACGGTCAGTGGGCACGGTGCATTTTCAAACAATTACACAGTGCCACTGATGTGTGAACGCACGATTCGTACATAAATAATTTTGTGCCTTCGTACTTTAAACCATTACGCCAACTACAGCTAAACATTAATTTTAGTGAAGCCTTACAATCGGTTGATTAGCGTGCGGTGGGGGGAGGGGGGGGGGGGGGGTCCGTACGGAACCTTTACGTCTGCGACTCTAAATATCGCTCTATCAACTATTCTAAATTATAGTCGCCGTTTCGAGACGGGTGGTAAGGTTTCCTAGATCGATTTGCTTATGCCCCGCACGATTGATACAAGAAAACTAATTAACTCCGGAGCCCAGTTTCAATACCGTCAAGCTAATGCATACGGTCAGGTTAAACGCTCGTACATATTAACTTTATTAAAAGTCCAGCGTCAACGCGTCCTCAAATGTCCATATTACCACTTAACATCAGGTGATCCACCTGCTTGCTCCCTTGCCACCTTTTCACATAAAAAAAAATTATTAAACATGCACTTTGAAAGCAAACTATTTTTACATGCTATGTATTCGAAAAAGTAGTCTAACAGTTTCAATTAACTTTGATATGGGGACCCTTTTTTTAGAGGATATTTTCATTATAAAATAGCGATAAGTCTTTGATGAATAATCTGTCTGGTTGAACTATTGTATGGTCGTCCAGTTTTGATATCATTAAGAATTTAGAAGAACCATTTGAGCCAAGTTATCCATAATGTGTATTTTCAGAGTTGAAACATTTCAATAGATGTTCTATTTATAACAGAGATTTCCTTTAGTATTTAATACGAACTCATTAAAAATAATTAAGAATTGTTAAAAAAATATCTCGTCTTGTACACCTATGATTTACTCTTGATAGTTACAGATGCATCTTGCACTAGTTTTTAGTCCACGTACACGTATGAATAAATTAAACATTTTCGTTTTTACACTTATCAAACAAAAGTCAAAATAAGCTTGGTGTTTCTGATTTTAAACTTATAATGTTTATATTAAACTCTGTATATGTAAAAAAATGACCAATTTACTAGCGATAAACGAAAAAGGCAAATTATTTTAATATCGTAATTCAAAAAAAATCACGTAAATATAATTTATTATTCTTTATAAATAACTTCATGGTCGTTACAATAGTCTATTACAGTTTGATCGACGTCTTGATGTACCGCCGTTGTTATTCACATTACCTTTGGTGATCCGCCTCTGTGTGAGTGCGATAAACTCATAACCTATATATAAACTAGAGGACCCGACAAACGTTGTCCTGTAAACACGTCTGAAATCCGAATAGAACTTATAAATAAAAAAAAATTGTGGACCGAATTGTGATTCTAAACCATTCTCGAATCGATCCGAAGGCACAAAATTTTATTAAAATCGTAGTACACTGACATACGTTTAATGTTGTTCATATATTGGCATTACTCTTGAAGTGAAAACTTCTTTAGGCTTTTTGAGCAACTTTTTGATTAATAAAATATAAAAAGGAAAATTTATTCAGTTTTCGCTTATTGCCAAAGTTGTCAAACTGCAATAGTTTTTGTGGCCAATCCTAAAAAATCGCACTTTTCACTAATGAATTTATTTTTAAACTACAGATCATATAATAATAAATACGACTACGACGATATACAGAGAGATTTTTTGAGAAGTGCCCAAATTTACACAGCAGTTTCAGACTATATCGGTAGTATAATCGTTTTTTGAAATAAAAAACAAAGTTTTTTTTTTTTTTTCAAAAAAATGCCATTCTATTCCCTAAAAAACCGAACGTGTTTACAATGCAGTAGTCATTCATAAATAACTAAATTTTACTGTGCACGAACTTGTGTGCGTGTTAGGTATGAATGATCGCGCGTAAAATAAATGAGTTGCGTAAGTTCAAATGAATGTAATTAATTACTTACGAGTAATTTTAAATGTTTGTCATTTTTTATATAACATTATTTATGTCTAGAATTTAATTAAAAAAAATGGATACACTCAGAAAAGCCACCCTGTATAAACAATACCTATATATAGTATTATTCATAAGGTGGACCCAATGATGTTAGACGGAGCAATAAAGTGGTCGAATCGACGGCTTGAGCTGTCATTTAACACTACATTTCGTGAAAATGGAAATATTTAGTACTAGCTGCTAACCGCGGCTTCGCTTGACTTTTTTTATTTTTTATTTTACACCAGAATGTCTCGCAGATGGCTGAATTTTTCCTACTTACTTGACACTTATCATCACCCATATTTTGGACAAATCATACAATATCTTTATAAAATATAGCCTATGTGTTATTCTGATGTATAAGCTATATTGTAAAGTTTCATTCAAATCTATTCCGTAGTTATTGTGTGAAAGAGTAACAAACATCCATCCATAAGTACAAACTTTGGCGTTTATAATATTAGCAATGATTACAGCATTTATCAACTTATAGGTACTTATACTTTCGATCGAAGTCTTAATTGTAAAAAAAAAGAAAATTACACAGCTAAGATCGCTGAAAAGTTTTTAAAACCTAAGTTAAAGAATAGACATTCAGCCTGATGTTTCGAAATTTTGCGTTTGAGTTTTAGACTTAGTTGTTTCTTTGAAACTTTTTCTTCAACTTCTAGTCAAATACGTCATCAATTAGATTGGCTGTAGCAAATTAAACGGTATCTAGGCGAAGTTTCTGGAATTATGACAACCGCCTAAAAAAAAGAAACATTAAATTTATAACACATAATCATTGAGAGGTATGAAAATCATTACTCTTTGCGAGTTGAGCACATTGCTAAGCGCGTCGGTTAAACGAAAGAATTTATTTATAGGAATAAATATATATATCACAAATTATATAAAAAAGAACAATTATAAGTTGTACAATAACTAGGAAAGTAACAACGAGTCTTAATAAACAGGCACGGTGCCAATTACAAGTCCAATTAAAAACGTGCAAAAAAGAAAAAAGAAAAATATCGACAGAATAAATTGCTGTGATTCGCGACACGGGAAAATCAAAACGAAGTCGATTCTTAAGTTTTCGATTCGGAGAAACTGCGGTGCGATCATCCGTGAAATCTTCTAACGAGGGATTATCGAAATCGGCGCGAAAATATCAGCGTTTGATTTAAGCGAAACTCTAAAGTTTTTCTCAAATAGAGATCGCGGCCGGAATACTCGCTGAATACAGTACAGCCAAACGTGAATAAGTGTGTATAAATTTTAATAAATAAATATTTCGGACACATTTTTACACCACGTTCTCTATGAATCTAATCCCAAACTAAGCAACGTTAAATATACTATGGATACTAGAAAATAACTAATAAACATAGCAGTTATCTTTTATATAAGCCTATCAAACAAATACATATTATACATATATAAACATCCAGACACTGGAAAAACACTATTTTCATCACACAATATCTTTCCAGTAGCGGGGATCGAACCCACATCCTCTGGTGCAAGAGTCAGGTTCATTTCTCCCCACATCAATCGGGTCGTCATAATTTATATGTATATTATTTTAATTACATTCATACTCAGTGCAACTACGATGCAGACAAACGCAGAGAAACGCGTAGATAAAACTGTCGCAACATTTTGCCACCGCTGCCGAGATACGCACCCGCACCTTTCGCATTACGCCTCCAGACGCTCTAGCCACTAAGCTAAGCGGTCGACATACTGGTCACGCGAAAATCTACTTCTTACCTACATACCTTTTTATTTATTGCACTTGTAATTGCTACAAGTTGGAATTATCCAATGTGACCCCTTTAATGAAATCACACATTCTCAAATTACATTACAATGGGCGTTTGGATATTAGCGATGTCGCATTTAATTATGTGCAATTTTTATTGTTTCTTTTTTATATTTTTATTATTATTCATCCCTACTAATATTATAAAGTCGAAACTTTGTATGTATGGATGGATGTTTGTTAATCTTTCACGCAAATACTACTGAATGGATTTTAATGAAACTTTACAATAATATAGCTTATACATCAGAATAAGATATAATATTGGAAAGTTTCATAAGGCTATAATTTATATACATATTTTATGTATATCTGTCTTTCTGTCTTAATGTTACACCTTCAGCCTATTCTACGCAGACCTAGCGGGCATCAGCTAGTTGATATATAATTTCTGACTACACTATCGCATTAGGTTAGCCGGTAATGTTAGTTGTGTGAGTTATTCCACATAAATTAATAAATAACTCTC